ATCAACAATTTCATGCTTGAGTTCTTTGATAGCTCTAGGATGGATGCCATCAAATTGCTGACTGTGAGTTTGTCGGTAAGGTTTACAGTTTCGGCCCGAATGCTTCTCTGCATGAGCCCTGTCCTTCCGCCCTTTGGGCTTTTGCTAGACCCTGGTCTTCAGGCCCTGTTTGCGCTGGACTGCTTACCTGCGTTTTGTTGTGAGCTGGCCCGTTCCCTCCTTCCTCTTGATCCTCAAGTTCAAGAGAATCTTTTGAAATGCAATTCTTTTCTTGAAACTTGACAGATTACAAAACCGTATGAACCCCAAGTAGCCCGCTTTCTAGCAAAGTTGCAGGAGAAGCATCTGCCCAGGGAGAGAGTAGACTCCAAAGTGGAAACTTCCCCTCCCTTTCAGTAGGACTTCTGACTCTGTCCTCTTCCACCTTGAGGGCAGGATGGCAGGAATGCCAGAGACCCTCTAACTGGGCAGCTCATTTCTCCCACTGCGTGCTTACTGGGTCAAGGACTGGGTCATGCAAATGCTGTCCCCATGGTCCATCCTGAAAACCCTTCCACCCCTTCCAAAGCAGGAGTGTGGGACCAAGCGGATGGCATGGGTCACTTGAGGCTCCCGATCCCAGCTAAGCTAGAAACTGCAATTCCTCCCCTGACCACCTGCAGCAGTGGCAGTACAGAGCAACAAGCCCCTTCCCTGGTGAGGGACCATGGAGCCACACGGGAAAAGAATCGCAGGCTCCTCTTCTAGGAATCTGCACTTCAAAACCCAGTAGCTTTCTTCTTGTTCTGTCCTCCCAAAGTTCTCCAGATGCGCTTTCTTATCTCATGGCTTCTCCAAGCCATGCAAATTCATGTCATCCTCATCTCCCAGCATGTGGGCTAAAAAGAAAAGGCAGACCTGCAGGTATACCGTAAGCTACTCAAGTTTCCCTGTCATCAGATGAGACACATGGATAAATTAATACGCCTCTGCCTTTATCGGATAAGCCAAGTTGAATACACCCACGACTCTTGCAATATTCCCCCGTTCTGCCTTTTAAATGTATTTAACTCTGTATTGACTTTTTCCCCACCTGAGGAGTAAAAAGGGTAAAAGAATTCATGTTGTTGAGTCTCTAGCATAGGATGAGATGAATTTTAGATCGAAAAAAGATGAGATCCTTAATTCAACTGGATGTAACTTTTGTTTTCACAATGCAATACTGAGCAAATACTGCAGACATACTGTACTTTTCCAGGAAATTATCTTCCTTGAGAGATTGCTGGCCTGGTGTATTAATTCTTTTGCTGTTTGGTCCATCAATCTTGCCTGTTGGTTGATGAGAAAAGCTTCAAAATCTGTGAGCAGGTTTGTGGAGTTTCCAGAAAAAAATGAATTGGAAAATTTCCTGGATAAAATAATGCATTAGAGAAGTTTCTGATGCCTTAGAAAGCGAGTGAATCGAGTATGTGTATTTCATTTGTAAAAAGTGCCCCGTGTTTTTGGTCCCAATACACTGCAATTATGTGATCAGAAATATCTAGGGAAAGGAGTAAAGCACAGTTAGGTGCAATACTATAGAGGTTTATGCAGAAAAAGTTCCTACAACTCCTAGATGCTCTAGTTACCTAGAAGACTTTGTCTGTCTCTGCTTCCATCAGATTGTGTCCTTAATGTTATTTAAGTGTTATATTCTGTAGAACTGTGAATAGGAAAATGTGCAGAAATTCTAAGGTGTAGCATGGACAGTGAAGGAGGCCGAGAGGAAGAAGATAGGTGCATTCAAAACCTGGTGCTGGGGGAGAGCTTTGCAAAACCTGGACTTACTGGTGAACAAGGAGGTCCTCGATCAAATCAAGAAGAACTTTCCCTGGAAGCAAAACTGAGAAAAGTGAGGCTGTCGGGTGCGTCATGAGAAGACTCCCTGGAGAAGAAAGTCATGCTAGGGAGAGTCGAAGGCAGACCGACTCTGAAGAATTGGTTCTGTGAAGAAAGCCACAGCCTTGAATTGAGAAGAGCTGAGCAGGGCTGTCAAGGACAGACGTCTGACATTTGAGAGGGCACTCAAACTGGGTTGTCATAGTCAAAGACGACTTGATGGTGAACGACAACGAGAAAAGGGCAAAGCTATTGAAGACTTGATGCAATAGCCAACCTTCCCCAACACGATGCCCTTCAGAGTTGAATGGCAACAAAACCCCGTGAGAAGAGACTGGAAGAACTGGGCATGTTTAGCCTGGGGAAGAGAAGACTGGGGGGAGGTAAGAGAGCAGACTACAGGTTCGTGAAAGGTTTTATTTTTATTTATTTATTTATTTGGGATATTTCTAGCCCGTCCAATCACTTTAGGCTCTCTCCTTGACCATCCCAGAGTGCAGGACATAGAATAATGAGATCAAGTTACAGCAAGCCAGGTGACAGCTGGACATCAGGAAGAACTTTTGGACTGTCTGAGCAATACAACAATTTCCTGGGAAGGTTGTGGTCCCTCCCATGCTGGAGGCATTTTAGACACCACGGAACAGGGATCTGATAGGGATGCCTTAACTTGGAGTCCTGCATCGAACTGGGTTGGACCTGACGGCTTTCTTGGCCCCTTCCAACTCAACCGTTCTGTGTTTCCGTGATTCTAAACCAGCAACTTCCTGGGCAACTTCGGACAACCAGCCAGAGCACCAGAAAGGCAGATATTCCCACTCCAGTTTCCCGATTCCATGCCTGCTTCTCCCTCCCTCCTCTCTATTGAGCGAGGTTGCGAGGGCCGCATGTGATCGTACCGATGAAATTAGCATGCTCCGAAGCCGCGAATGGATGATGCATGCTACACAAGTGAGCCTCAAACCCCTCGTCCCATTTTCATGCATTCTTTTCCAGCTTTTGCGTGTTTGGGGCGTTGCTGTCCTTGCGCACCTCGCACTTCAGAACAGGATCCCTTGCTCTTCCTCAAGCGGCTTTGCGTAGCGAAACGGCGACTCATCTCTCTTCTCCCAGGATCAATATGCTTTCCAAGTTATCCCTGAAGAGCAAAGCAGGACCGGTTCAGCGAAAGGTTCTGTTTAGAAATCCTGGAGCTCTCCTGCCAAGGAGAGAAACCTCGTGGGGTGCAGGGCTGCTGATGTGACTTTAGATCATGCAGGATGGCATTGTGATTAAGTGGGGTTTTTGCAAGGAGGGCCTTCCGCTTTGTTTTTCAGAAGCTAGGGAAAATAGTCCTGCTGAAATTCTCCAGAAGATTTGTGGGCAGTGGAACAGGGGTGGGACACCACTTTGCCAAAAATCCTTTGGGGACAGGAAAAGCCATCTCAGCCGTTTCTTGGGGACGAAACGCATTGCGAGCAGTACTCGTAGCAACGGGGATCTTTCCCTCCTTCCTTCCTTCTGTCCTTCCATCCTTCTTTCCTTCTGTTTTGTTATTAGTATTATTTAATGATACTTAGCAATGTATGACCGTGAAGGAATCCAGCTATATTTTTGTCTGGAAAATGAAGGTAGCAGGAATCTGGCCGTATTTTTGAGGAGGAACTTCACAGGCCGTGGTAAATGGGCCAAGGATGGTCAGCCAGACAGCTGCTTCATCACTGCCAACCTAGGAGAGAGGAGAGGACCTCTCCTGGAGAAGCAGGTGGTGGAGGGGGAGGCTTAACCCTTCCCCCAAGTCATGCTGTTCTTCTCTTGATGGAGTTCCTCTCCTTGGAACCCCAGCTTTGGGGACCGCTCTTGTGGGAGGAAAGCGACAATTGAGGCAAGGATCTCGCAATCTTTCCAGAATTCATAATTTACTAGTTCAGAATAACAACCTGCAGTGCTCACATGCGTTATAAATTAAGTGCTGTTTCGTGGAGAAGCCCTTGACAGCACAAAATGTACCGGGAGAGTTTGCAGACGCTCAGAGCAGATCCAGCTCCAGAGTTAGCTAGGAAGCACCGTGACTGTGAAGGCTCTGGAAACCAGCGGGGAAGCCCAGGGGAAAGGAGAAGCACGGGGCCACCCTTTGACCAGGGCCAGCGTTGCGGCTTGGCAATCTCCTCCCAAATGAAGACACATGTTCTGGACTCACCAGTGATATCCATAATCGGGGATCCAGTTGCCCACCATCCCCCCCGTGTGGGACTTTTTCTCTGAGGGTCTTCAATCCTCACGCCTTTTGGGAGTGAGAAAGGCCACTGCTCTTGGGGCACCCGCTCAAGGCTGCCTGGCTGGACTTTGACTCCGGAGGAGGAGGAAGAGGAGGACCAGGAGGCAGCCTCAGAATGTGGGCCAGATCCAGATGTTGCGATGAGAGGGGAGGTACCTATCACAGGTGGGCAGCCACCTCTGGGAAGAGCCAAGATGTGCGGTTATTGAGAGGGGGCTTAGAACAGGGGAGTTTCTCAGAGACAGAAACAGAGTGAGTCAGAAGGGGCCTCCCGGGCCATCTAGTCTGACCCCCGGCTCCAGCTGGCTCTGCTCATGACATGCCCACCATGTGCATGTCCATGAGGTGGGCACGGCTCTTGACCCCATAGCACATTGGCAGAGGAGGGTGGCCCAGTTAGAGGATTGGCGTGAAGAGAGGAGATGTGCTTGTTTTCAGAAAGCCTCCGGGGCCCAGGCATGCTCATAAGGAGAGTTCCTGGAAGTAAATACTAGATGGGGTTAAGAAGCCACTCTGTGCCTGCTCAAAGATTCATTTTGGGCACTTGTGCTTCTGGAAAATGCTGCAGTCAGTTACGAACATTTGCAAGAAAGGGAGGGATCCACGCTCACAACCGTGCCCCTCTTTTGCTCAGGGCTGTGACAACTAGACGCCTTAAACCAGGGGTGCAGAGCACAGATCAGAGAAAACAGAGGGGCTTCCTCCAAAAACCCACACAGTCCGGGTGAAGTACGAAGGGCAGAAGGTTCCCCCGCTGCACTAAACTTATTTTGGCAACCAGAGGTTCCGCTTCCCAGTAGAAATGTATAAATACCTGTTTTCTTGGTTTTGTATATCTGATTGGTTTTGTTTTGTTTTGTTTTGTTTTGTTTTGTTTTCTCTGCAGGTTGCCGGACTCTGTGGGATAACATTACTTGCTGGCCTGCAGCACCTTTGGGTGAAATCAAAGTAATGCCTTGTCCACAGTATTTCTCCTTCTTTTCAGAGACTCAGGGTAAGTGGAACAAGACGACTTCTTGTAGAAACATAGAAACAGAGCGAGTCAGAAGGGGTCTCCCAGGCCATCTAGTCTGACCCCAGGCTCCAGCCGGCTCCTCTCACGGCATGCCCACCATGTGCACGTCCAGCCTACCCTTGAACACCCGCACCGATGGGGCCTCAACGGCCTCCCTTGGAAGCCCATCGAAGTAAAGTAAATGCTTTTCAGATTGTTCGGAGCTCTCCTTTGACTGAAAATTTATCATTTTGAATTAACGTTTTGAACTAAACTGCCCGTTCAAAAATGTTGCCTTGTGTATCTTTCCAAAGTCTGTGATCTGCACCTCAAATACAACACAGTTTGGTCCTAAGAGATACTGTCTTTCTGAGCAGTAGCTGGAGGTCCCACATTGGAATGCTTCCCTGTATTTAAAAAAACAAAACAAAACCCTCCCTAAAAGTAAAACAACAACACAAACATTATGCAGCAGGAAGAAATGGTCTTCCTGGCCTGTTCCCTGCTGCACTAGCTTTCTCCTTGCAGGGAATTCTTCATGCAAATGAAATTCCATGGGGCAGAGGTAGCGAGAGTTTAACCGGCCTGGTGCTATGGCTTTGTTTATTAGAAGCTTGCGTGTGAAATTTGTGGATGGCAGTCTATTTCTAGTCCAGAGTTCATGGTCATATATCTGAATACAGGAAATAGCTTGCCATTGAAGCAGCTTTACATCATCATCCAAGAAGAACTGCCTGCATGATTGTGAAAATTACAAATGACCTCCTGCAGAAATCAGGAGGAAGCTGTGACCATCACACATGCAGAACACCGGGGAAAGGCAGAAGTGTTGCTAGCTGAATGTGAGAAGCCACGTTTGATTCAGGGTCCAATCTTTTTTCTCATCAGCACTGAATGATTCAGTTAGTGGTAGACGGGAAGTGAAAGATGGACTTTGGTGTGCAGTGAAAAACTTCTTAAGCTGAGATGCACCGGGTTTTAATATTTTTAGTGTATACCTTTGTTTTTGTATAATTTTTTATATCTTTGTTTTTGTTGTGAGCCACCCCGAGGCAAAAGTTCCATTGGAAATAATGCGATTTTGAAAAAGCCTTCCTTGAGTAGCTTTTTCTGCAGAGCGCATCCTTTCTGCCCCTTCCAAACACATTCCAACCATCGGAAACATGCCAGGACACCTCGTTTTCCT